TTCACATGAATCTACTCTTGTTGATGTGATACTTTTTTTTAATCTACTGACCTTTGAAAATAGGAAATACAATTTTAGCAAACAACAATCATACAGAATCTGCACGATCTAAAGTTTCAGTCAAAAGCAGCACTCTGTTCTAGTTGTAAGTTCAACAGCACCATTTTTTTTTACTGTGACACTGCAGCTACTCAACCACATCCTGTTGCTCACCTTCAACAATTCTGACCGCCCCAAAATTCACATGTGAGCTACTTTAATCATCAGTGGCAATATAATGATGTCAGGGTATTTGTTCTCTACATTGTCATAAAATTACTTTCTGTAAATGTTGATGTTATGTTGGTGAAAAACTGTAAAATATTTTCAAAAAAATGGCTCCATATGAATGTGTTAACTGGGAGAAATTCTAATGTTTTTGCAGCCAGTGTAATTAGCTGTTGAGAAATATATTTTAAGTTGCACAAACGTTTCTCTGTCTTGGAGAATGATGTTGTCAGAAGTCAAGCTTTGGGGATTTATCAGACCAAATAAAGGTATGTGGTAAACAACGTGCGAAACAAAAATCTGCACATCTTTGTTTCTGACAACAAAATGCTCCCACCAGTGATTACTGCTGCTAAACGTCTGCCCACACCTTTAAATGTAGACTGTGTAACGTCTCACTCCCCACTCACTCCTCTCTCACTCCTCTCTCACTTCCTGTCTCGGATGTCATTTTTGATCACAACCCGAGCACGATCACTGCCATCATGTCATGTGAGAGTCAGAGTTCTGCCTGTGTGCTGGTGTAAAACAATCCAAACATTTTATAGCTGCAAACTTTTACATTGCTGTCTGTTTTGGATTATATTGACTTTCCATCAGAAGTGAACACAGAACTATCCACTATAGCTAGCTGCTGCTGCCATATTTGCTTATGACAAACTATATAAACCTACGTGAATCATGAAGCAGGCCCTTCCTGACCATGACCCGAGGTTCTCTATCAGAACCAACTTGAATTAGTTTCTTTAGTTTGTTCTGACCTGAATAACGTCAGATTATTTTATGCTTGTATCGTTTCTAGAACACCTAATCAGCTGCAAATTGATAAATGCTTACAAAAATCAAGAATGAAGTTTTTTTTATTTATGTTTGAAACAAAATAATGCTGATTAGTTGGCCCTAACTTTGTAAGAACGTATCACTCACTACTTGTACAACACAAAATTTAGGGTGATGTTTCTGCAGGTTTGAGTCTGAAGTTCTGTCAGCATGGTAGCAGTTCCCATTGCTCTTGCCATAAACAAACGAACTGTTCCTCCAAAAAGCTGTCTACAACATGTATAATGTTAATTCAGTTTTCAACATGACTCTGTTTGTTTTAAGGTTTACCTTGGTTAATGCTCTGTTACACTCCAGGAAAAAAAAAGTTCCATTGATGTCGCTGTAATTTATTTCATATTATTATTACATATTTTCTGTTTCCACTTCCTCAGGTTGCTGACGGCTGAGCTGATTATCTCCAGCGATCCACAGGTGAAAGGCAGAGTGCACCTTAGACAGGACACTGCTCTGACCAACAAATCCTCAACAAACATTTGAGCACACACCCACTCACAACCTGAATGAAATGCACAATCTCCTTCTTACCTACAGGATTGTGCATGTTTTTTGGACAGGAAGAAACTAAAGAATAAGCTGAAGCTCAATGTTAAATATTTAAAGAGTAGTTGTATGCCATTGTTTTCTTGTAAATCTATAATATATTATCTTGACATGTTGTGCCATTGTTCTTGTTTTAAATAGTTTATGTTGTGTATTTTATTAGATGAGCTCTTTACTTAATGACTTACCTGTTTAAGCTTCAGGTCTTATTTTGTCAAATAGAATATGTTCTTTGATAACTCCGTTTCCTCTGTTTTTATTGTTTCAAAGGTTTTAAACATCTGATTTATGCTTCTACTTCACTTTAGTTTTTCTGGTGACTTTTACTAGAAGGAGTACAGATATTTCAACATTTCTGCTGATTCATTTGTTCATGGAAACCTCTCTACTCCTAAGAGCAGACATGTTTGTGAGACTTTCTGTTCTTTCGAGTTTGTGGCTCGGTCGGCTCACACCCTCATCTTTTGTATGTGAACTTTCTCTCCCTTTTCCCCCCACCAGGGCACTATTGAAAGAAGACAAAGATGAATTGTGTGCACTTTGGTGTAGGAACACAAAGAGGCTGAATATTAAAGACCTTTGTCCCAGCCTTTGCTTTTTGTAACCCGGTTACATGGGCACATTTTTTCTTAAATTATATTTAGCATGACATAAGAGTAATTCTAAACAAACTTAACCACAATTAGGTTTTATTTTAAGTGTCACATAATGGTTATTTCTCATTAAAATCAAACAGAATTTTAGGTACACCCGTTTCATTGTTTTTAATGTAAAAAAAGTGATGCAAACAAGTATTTTATGGACGAGTTACTTTTAATTCTGAACTATAAAAATTGTGCTTACTTTGAATCACCACCACATTCCTTACAAAGAATTGTTTAATCTGAGCACTGAGGTCCATGTCTGAGTGAACATGAAACTCAAAGGCTGAGACACTCAGTTTTACCACACTGCTGTAGCTGTGAGATGTTACTTCCACTTGCATGTAAAAATAAGCTGCAGGCCCCAGACTGCACACAAAAGGATAGCAGAATGTAAAAAAAAAACAAGCTAAATGCAGTTTTGTTTTTACAAAGTTTTTTAAAAACATGTTCTTGCAAGGAGGATTGAACTACATTTCATTAGACAGAAAAGGTGCTGTTTGATAAAACGGTTCAACCACAAGTAGTTTAGTGATCAGTGTTATAAACCGTTTTCACCTTTGACAACTTTTCACAGGCCTGACAGATGCAGACTCATGTGGTTAACTCCTTGCTTTAAGTGTTTTAAGATAATCTGCACAAAATTATCCAGATTGTAGGTCTGGGGGGGGGAATACCTTTTACTCCAGTTGAAAATAAATTAGTTCTCTCAAAAAGGTCTTGAGAGTAGAGAAAAAAAGGCCACAAATTCAATGAAATTTGTCTCCCCACAAAGATACAGCTGGCTTCGGTGTGCAGGAGTATGAAGGAAATAGTTTAGTTTGACTGCTACATACTTAGCCTAAGATAGCTCAGTAAATTTTGATGCAAGACCACGAGGCAACGTTTCATCCTTGCACAGTTCCCTTTAGGCCAAATTCAAAATAGGGCTGAGGCAGAGGAAACTCCTTTTAATAATAATGCATACAGAGTTTGACAGATTTGTTTGCTTTTATTTGGCATATTTAAACATGTGCATTTCAGTTTTACATAAGACATTTTAGTGAGTATTCAGTGGCCAGAGCAGGCCAACAAAACCATGAAGTCCACCACATTTCCTGACATGCCAGCTTTAAAATGGCACAGTGCAGACCTTACAGATGACCCAGATCCCAAACAGTCAACCCACACATGTGAAGGTGAGGAATTTGCAGCCATCGCCACAACTGCAAAAGCTACATCTTCAAATATACAAGGCTGATGTTGACAAAGCATGTCGAAGTGTACAGTGCAAGAGTGCTGGACTTCATGAGGACTCTGATTTCTCCTGGTCAATGGCTGCAGAAACAAGAGGTGCACGAGTTATAATCACAGCAACCAAATAAGCATCAGTAAGTCACTTTGTGCGGTACGTACTCTCTTTAGTCGGCAGGGTGTTTTTCTCATGAGTCTCCGTCTTCTTCAGTTTGGTTTTGTCAAAAGTTTCGACTTCCTTCACGTCAGGTTTGTCAGACATTGTTGCAGAGGTGCTGAGTAGAAGGAGTTAATTGTTAGGTTTTTTTTCAAACTTTATAATCAGCACACCTGAGCAGTAACAAGCCCAGAAAGTCAATTGCTGCTTTCATCTGAATATATTGTAGGCTTATTTATGCTAGTGTTAAAACTGACATTCAGTTTAATTAAAATACTGCAACTTGAAAAAGATATTTAAAAAAGCCTTAAAATGACCACAAAGTGTTTCCCTCCTTATTAAGAAATCAACTGCTTTCATAATTCATAATTATCCCCTGCCTTTCTTACACACAAAAMGTACTTTTACACTTAAAATAACTACAATATACAAGCGTGTAAACTTACTTGGAGCTTCCCAGAGAAATCACACCAAACGTTACTGTCGAAACCGGAGGAGCAGAGTAAAGTCTCGCGGCGCGTTCAGCCAATAAATACCCGGGGGTAATGTTAATTACCTCTGACGTCACCGTACGTGCAACCTCAGCGCGGAAGTTAAGTTCATTTTTATCGGAGTTAAGGAGTGATAATAAAACACCAGTCGAGCAGAACGTACGCATAACCGAGTTTATTAGATAAGTAAGTGCGTTTATTTTATATAAAATTACCTTACTAAGCAACAGCAGCAGCTGTGTCTCATTAGTGAAATGGCCCATTTTTTTTAAAATTTATGTAGGTTACTGCTTATGCCACAGCGTTGGCTTTAGCTGCTTTCCCACATAGAAAACGTTACCATTAGGCTATACAATAATTATAATAATAATAAAAAAACTTTAGAGTGAGAAAAGGAAGCTTGGTTTGAGCTCTCATACAGCTCCTTGTTCTGACTTTAACTCTGCTGACCTCTAGTGGCGCAGCGCGGCACTACAGCAAGAGACAGCAGGAGGCTGCAGAGCAGATCTCAGGTTTACAAGGAGATTAAAGACGTGTGAACCTCACCTGTTTTTTATTCATTTACTTCAGACTGACAGTAAACAATGCAATTGAAGAGCACGCAATGTGTTCAGATTTAAATCGACTTGATTTATTTATAAAATGAAATAGATTTACAAACATTCTGAAAGCTTCATTATTATTTAGGTTAATTCAAAATGACTAAATCATGATGTGCGTAAAACAAAACTATGATAGCACTTGTAAAAAAAACTTCTTATGTATAGGTCAAAACATGGGTTATGAATTAAACTTAAATGTTTATTTAAAACAAATACCACTGCACATATAAAAACAGGTAGTTTGCAGATTGTTTTCGCTGACTGGCTTTCTTTTTCACTTGCCAGTGAAGAACTTTGAGTAGGTTTTGTTGTACATAATCTGATTATCCACTCTCACAACATTCCTCAGGTTTTGCCAAAACCAGGGCTCGGCTGCTGCCGTTCTCGGCCACTCCACGACACTTTTCTCACACAACCTCTTCCTGAGACGCAAGAAGTGCGAGTGCTGCAGCACAGGTTCCAGCATCAGCAGCACAATCACATCTACGTTCTCATCCAGCAGTCTTTGGTGGGCCAGATACATTGCCAGCTTGAAGACACCGGTCTCAACGTAGCCTTTTGTCAGGACGAACAAAGTTTTACGACTGTATCGGATACTCTGCATGAGGTTATCCACTAGTGGGACTCCCGGGGTCCAGTCCCTCTCCTCCAAACAAAGAGGATGCTGCTTGTCACCTTCCTCTTCCAGTTTCACTCGCAAGTTCCTCATCACCCACTCAGAGACATGTGGATCTTTGGTGTCGTAGGTTACAAAGACATCGTAAATGTTATCTGGTGAGTGCAAAGATTTGTATCCCTTCAGCTTTGCATTCAAAAAGTGTAAGATATAGGAGGCATCCCAGTAAAATAAATGAGCAATTGTTGCCGCAACCATAAAGGCAATAATAAAGAAACTTGTGAGGATGTACATCTTGAACGCCTGATCGTCATTTACACACGGTGTGAGGTCAAAGCTTATCAGTGGTTTGTTTCTGTCCTTTGCGCGTGTGCCGCACGTCACTGCAGTCGTCAGTCTGGGAATCCTTATTCTGTTTTTTCCTACCCACAAAATGAAGTCTAATGATTCACAAGTACACTGGAATGGGTTTTCCAACAAAAACAAAGTCTTAAGTTTACTCTCTGGTCCCAGTTCGAAAGTCGTTTGATTGATGATGTTTAGTTTGTTGTAGCTGAGGCCAAGAGTTTCAAGGCTTTTCAAGCCGTTAAAAAAACTGTTTTCCAAGTGGAAAATTTTGTTGCCCCTTAAATCAAGTGAAGTCAAAGAGTTGCTGATTGTTGAGTTATCCCCTGCTAAATAAGTCAAAGAATTGTAGCTCAAATCTAAAATCTTAAGTTTAGGCAAATATTTCAGTTTGTCCCATAAAAACTCTATCAGTTTGTTATGGCTGATGCATAGCACTGTGAGGTTACGAGGCAGATTTTCATAAATGTTGGTATGAATGCTTTTAATGTAGTTGTGAGACATGTCTAAAATTGTCAAATTGGTGAGATAGGTGAAAAGGTTCTCGTAGGAGCCGTCGCTGTGTTTCCAGAGAACTCCGAGGGAGTTATGCGTGAACCGAAGTTCGGCTAGCGATTTGCTGTGCATCTGTTTCGTTGTTAACTTGGAAATGGAATTGTGACTCATATTCAGCACTCTCAGGACAGGCAAATTTTTCATGAAGTTCAAATTGAGTGTTATCCCGAATGCTCTGAAGTAGTGCGGGTTGTAGCTGAGGTCCAGAACTTCCAGTTTCTTTAGTTCTTTAAAGGCGCCATCGAAGGCCAGATCAACCTTATTGAAGGACAGGTCCAAGTAGGTCAAATTAGGCAGCGAGGAGAACTCTGTGCCATTGAGTGCTGCTGAGAATCCATTCCCTGACAAGTTGAGGCAGGCGATGTCTCCGTATCCCTCAAACTGCTCAGGAGAAATGAAGAACAGATTGTTGGAGCTGAGGCTTATGACCCGTCCCGCCTCAAAGCACTCCTCTTTTATAAGACCGTGGGTTAACTCGTGAGTGAACAGCTGTGGTTTGGGTTTTATGAACGATGAAACAGAAAGATCTGACCTCTGAGGGTATCCACATCTTGGTTTTCGGAGGGTTGTTTTTGGAATGGGATATAGCCTGTTCTCTGCAAGGTAAATCATTTTCAAATGGTGGAATTTTCTGAAAACACTGGGGTCAGAGCTAATAATAAAGTTAGTACCTAAATTCAGCGCAGTCAGATTTTCAAGTTTATATAAAGGTTCAAGTGTGGATTGGTCAAGAGTCTTGAAGACCATCCCTTCCATGTGCAAAGTTTTTAAAGATGTAAGGTTTGAGAATTCCTTTGAGAGACTTATTGTGTCCGGGTAATCCTTAGAAGCAAAGTTGAAAGAAATATCTATTATTTCAAGCTTTGAGAGGTATGTTAAAAACACAGCCTTTTCTCCAGTAACTGATTTCATCAAGAAGTTTTCTGAAAGGAACARATTTCTGAGTTCAGTCAGGTTCTTAAACCAAGATGGATTCAGATATTTCAGGGAGTTTCCTGCCAGATTAAGTGAGTAAAGGTGCGTTAGATTTTCAAATGCATCTGCGTCAATGTCAAGAGAACCATTAGTGCAAGGAACACAAGGATGCAGAGAATTTTGACATCTTGGACAATTTCCTTGCAGTTTAAGGACTCTTAAATTACACAATCCAGAAAAATCATCTTTAAATATGTGCTGTATTCCATTTGCGGTGAGATTCAGCTTGTTTAAAGATTGGGGTAATCCTATAGGAACGTGGCTCAGGTTGTTAAAAGACAGGTCCAGAACTTGTAGTTTGATCAATTTAGCAAAACTGTTGTCTTCAATTTCAATGTGTTTTCCACACAGATTGCCAAAGTAGCAGTTTCTGGAAAACCACAGCTGGGTCAGGTTTGTTAAGTTGGCAAGGCTTGTTTTTGTTAGGAGTGTGATCTGGTTGTTGACCAGCTCGAGGACTTCCACACTGACAGGAATGGTTTGTGGGACTTCCTTCATACGCAGCCCAGTCAGTTTCAGCTCACGCAGTTTGGTTAGGTTTTTGAAATTCGCCATAATTCTCACATTCTTGTTCTTGTTTGCCCAGTTGAGATTGAGCCAAGTCAAATTCAGCAGACCAGAAAAGGCATCAGCGTCAATTCTCTTAATGAAGTTTTCTGATAAGTCGAGATCAGTTGCGTTGCCAGTTATCCCGCGAGGTACAGCTTCTAGTCTGCGTCCTCTGCAGTCAAATAGGACCTTGGAGGTGTYAAAGGCTGTGACGTCACAGGGGAAGTTGGGTAACATCCATAAAGGAGTGCATGCCACAGGTTGGGTCTTTGGATGGWAGCACATGCAGAGGAGGAGCAGATGAATCCAAGCCTTACCAGTCTGTAAACAAATAATGGAGTAAAAAGTTAACATTTAACATGTTGTGTAATCCAGTTTATGTAAAAGTCAAGCTTAAAAACCTGTTGGAACAATGAATTTGTGCCCAGTCGAACTTCTCACTTGTACTTGTTTTTTTTTCCCACTTGTCTGGTTTTAACTGGACATTCAGTTCCTCATAYTCTTTGTCTTCCAAAACACAACAAGGAACTTGATCTATTCTCTATATTTCTCTATTCCACACACCCCTCCCCCACCACACACATAAAAAGAAGCACACACTTCCACCCACTACTGTGTTAAAGCAAAAGTCAAACTGAAACAAATTTTAGTTTAACTATTCACCAGTTTTGGACAAGTCYAGGTCACTTTGTAGTATTTGACAATTTATAATATGTTATTTTATGCCATCATCTCAAGTATTCTRCCATGATATTTTGCATCTCTCAGGTGATTGCTGCTCTCTGTTGTCATTTTATATCTCTCTGATCATATTATGACTTGAGTATTATTGGTTGCAATTTAGCATTTTAAAGATTTTCTTATGTGTCCCTGTAGCCAGTTTATGTTGCTTGTTGCAATTTTGATAATTTTTAATCTTTTTAAAGGCACTGCTGAGTCCTTCTTTGGTGTGATTTAAGTATTTATTTGGCTATTTAGTCACTATTTTTCATCACTCGTTTGACAGACGTAGCAACACTACATGGCATATAGAAGTTGACTTCCTCTGTTGTGTTAAAAAAATGGAACTTGCACATTTTATTGGGCTGCACCTATAATTAATTTAGGTAATTATGCCTTCTTATGGCATGCATTGATCTACTAATGCAGTATTACAGCTAAGTGGTAATTTTCAGAAAAAAMAAMAMWAWAAAAAACAGAAGCTATARTGAAGAAGAYAAAAGTAAATCTAAAATTGATTTTTTGCTTTAAGGAGTGATCATTTAAAGCACTTAAAAGTTTCTTATGATTTTAAAGGAATAAAAAGACATTTTGCATTAATTTATGGTCAAATTATATTTAGGTGCATTTTAAAATCTGAACTCATTCTGCAAAGTGTTGGAAACTGTTGTTTTGTAAGTCATCAGCAGGTGGTAGTRGTAAGTTAGGTAAATATTCAGATGGAAAAACTTGTTTTCTCTAGTCATGCTTTGGTCACARATTTAGATTCTGTAAGCGTTAATCTTTTACTGTAAAACTGTAATATTAGTTGTACAACTTCTCAATAAGATTTATAACTACATGCCAAAAAACACTGCAAGAGATGTTAAATACAGTAATATAGTCATCTAATTTGTGCTTGCAATAGCTTTTTAATGCTATTAGTAAATGGRCTGTACATGTATARGACCTTTCTATCCAACCAGGATACACAAAGTGCTTCACACCACAATCTGTGCCCTCATTTATCCATTCACACATCACTCTACTATGTCTCTCTACAAAGCTAATACAGGTGAATCAATCTATAGAGACTAATCAGTGCTTTAAATCACATTCATACACTGATGGGACACATATCAGAGGCAGTGGGGGTTTCAGTGCCTTGCCCAGTGACACTTTAACATGTGATGGAATAGTGGGAAATCGAACTGCCAACTCTCACATTGGAAGAACGACTCCCCTAACCACTCTAACACAACTAGTGACTGGGCTTCCTTGTTTCAAAGATCAAAAATGCATTTGACTGCATATCTTGGAATAACTATGCCTCTAATTGTTGAAAGACATATGAATAAAAAAATCAGACATGAGTTTTATATCTGTCATTCAGCTTTAATATAATTGAACACGTTTAAAATCGCAGCATACTTTGCAAAATATACTTTGAACGGGTTAGTATTTATGAGTCAGTTAAATTTGTATAATTGTATGATAATCTCAGTGCAATAATGCAAAAACACATGATAAAAAACAGTTAAAAACATAAAGAAAACCTGAAAGCTCTGCTGATTATTCCAGTCTGATATTTGAACTCACCATTGTACGCAAACTGTGTCGATCCTGATCTCAGACAAAACAGTTTTTAAACCCAGTGGTGCTTGCAATATAAAATCTTTTAGATCTCAAAAGTACATTTGTAATGAGTCAACATTTTGTCTTTATTTGTTATATCCACATGCTATGAGAGAAAAGAAAAAAACTCCACTGTGACCAATATAAAAGCATCAAACTCATTGGTTCAGCAAGACAGGATGTGGAAGAAAAGCGGCACATGAATAGCAGAAGTAACAGTATACATGTTTCATTTCCTTGTTTTTGTGATGTTCACAGCTTTACTGCCTTACTGGACAAACATCACAAACAGAATATTGTGTGTCAGCAGTGTGCAAATCAGGTCTCAAAAAATGGTAGAAAATCCCAGGTAAATAAAAATAATTGCCCAGGTTTTTTTTTCAATATTTAAATATTTACAAACCACATGAAAGTAAACTCAGAGATTCTCATTTTTGTACATTTATAATGTCTCCTTGAAGAGATTGCTGTACTGTTTATGACTCTCAGTAGACAGTACACTTCTGAGGCTAAACCAGAAATATGGTTGTGCCTGTGGGTTTGTTGGCCATTCAAGAACTGACCGTTTATACAGTCTCTTCCGTAATCGCAGGTACCTTGAATTGCAAGGTAGCTTCTCCAAAAAAATGAGCACTATCACATCATCTTTTTCATCCATTAGTCTTTGGTGGGCCATGTAGAAGGCTGTTCTGAAGTTCCCTCCTTCGATGTATTTTTTGGTGAGGATGAACACTGTCCTTTTGCTCTTCTGGATGCTCTGAGAGAGGTTGTCAATCAGGGGACATCCAGGGACCCAATCTCGCTCCTCCAGACACAGCGTCAAGCGGTGCTCTCCACGGCCCTCCAGATGAGTGCGCATCTCCTTCATCACCCACTCTGCCACTGCGGGATCATCTTTGTCATAGATGACAAAGGCATCATAGAGCGCACTCGGTGAGTGCAGGCGGCCGTAGCCTTTGATCTTTGCCCTGCAGAAGTGGTAGATGTACCAGACGTCCCACAGGAAGAGATGACTGGAGATGGACACAATGAGGAAACTGAGGAGGAGGAATGTCATAAGGATGTAGAGGATGATTGACAGGAAGGAATACTGGCAGGCCGTTAAGTCCACTGAAACCACAGGACGGCCTCTTTGTGCACCCGGAGAAGCACAGGTAACATCTACACCCAGACGAGGGATGGTCACCGTGGTTCTGTTCAGCCAAGTGATGAACCAAGTGGCATTGCAGGTGCAAAGAAATCTGTTTTTGTGCAGAAGCAACATGTCCATCTGCTTAACCACATTGTCTGGAAAGCTGGATTCCTCAATATACTTTATGTGRTTAAAGCTAAGATCCAGATATTTTAGGCTGAAAGCATCCTTGAGGAAATTTGGTGTGAGTTTAAAGATTTGATTTTTGTGTAGAATAAGATTCTCAAGTGATGAGGTACAGTTTGACAACATTCGTGGAACAGTAGTTAAGTAGTTTCCACTTAGGTCTAAAACACGTAGAGACTGCAGAAGTGAAAGTCTCCCCCAATTGAAAGATTTTAGTTTGTTGCTGTTAATRTAGAGCTGTGACAGCTTGTCTGGAAGACCATTGAAGACTTCTGGTTGTATAGAAATAAGATTGTTATGTGAGATATCAAGGGCTTTTAGATTTATCAACTTCTTGAAATAGTTGACGTATCTAGTGTCCCCATCTCTCCACAACATGTCTAAGCGGTTATCTCTGAACTCTAACCTCTCTAGAGATTCACTCTCCATCTCCATGTTAGTGGAAGTGGAAATCTTATTGTGATTCATCCGCAGTGTCTTTAGGTTTTTTAAATTCTTAGTGAAATTAAGCATGTGGGTCAAACCCTCTGACTCAAAATAATGATTGTTGTTGCTTACATCTAAGACGACMAGGTTCGTCAGCTCTTGAAATGCAGAGGCGTAGAGCAGGTCCAGGCGATTCCATGAGAAGTCCAGGTATTTTAAGCTGGCCAGGTTGATGAATTCAGAACCGTTTAGGCTTTGGCTCATGGCGTTTCCAGATAAATTGAGACATTTCAGCTCTTTCAAATTCAAAAACCTTGAATGCAAGAAAAACAGGTTGTTTCTGCTGACATCCAATGTCTTTCCGAACATACTGCACTCCTTCTTGACAAAGGATGTAACTATTCCAAGTTCCTTGTCTTTGTATTTGCAGCTGCGTGCATATTCATCATATCTGAAGTAATGGATCTCTCTTACTTCCTTGTTTTTGAGCTGATCAGCCTCTGACATGGGGGACCAGAGCAAGGGCTCTCCTCTGGTAAAACCAAGCTCATCTTGGCCATCAGAAGGAGATGATATTTTGTTGTCAGACAGACTTATTATTTTAAAGCTTTTTAATTCCATCAGAATACTCAGGTTTGCCATTTTAATAAAGTTTGTACCAAGATCTACAACCTCCAGATTGGACAGAGGTTTTAAAGGAGCAATGCTGTCCAGCTTTAGCTGCTGAAACACATAACCTTTGATTCTAAGAATCTTAAGAGATTTGAGGGAGGAGAAGCTGGGCGACAGTCTGAGAGTTTGAGGATATCTCTGAAGCTCATAATTAAATGACAGGTCCAGTTCTTCTAGCTTACCCAGGTGCAGAGGAAAGGTAGTGATCCCAATCTCTCTGGCTAAAAAGTTTGATGAGAGATCAAGCACTTTGAGAGCTTTCATGCTGGCAAACCATTCCGGCAGCACACGTGTCAGCGAGTTACTGTGCAGTCGTAGCGTTTTCAGTTTGGTCAACATTTTAAAAGCTGTCTCACTGATTTTAAGCGGTGCATTGTTCGAACATGGACTGCACGGGAAAGGGGCATTGTAGCATCGAGGACAGTTTCCGCTGATATCTAGAATCTCAAGGTTGGTTAAGTTTCTGAAATCCTCATCAGTGACCTCTTGAATGTTGTTGTTGTAGAGATACAGTTCTTTCAAACTTGTAGGCAGTTGATGGGGAATGAAGGACAAGTTGTTTGACTTGAGAGATAACAATGTTAAATAGTTTAACTGTTGAAATGCACCATTTTCAATATAATATGAGGCATTACAGGGGTTACGATAATAGCAGTTCTGTCCTAGATATAGCACTTGAATATTCTGGATYTCAGTGAGGTTTGCTTTAGAAATGTAAAAAATATGATTTACTTCCAAACTCAGCAGGATAAGATTTGAAGGCAAGCCTTTAGGTATGCTGTAGAGCTGATTTCCATCCAGATACAGTGCTCTTAAATTCTCCAGTGTGGTAAAGGTGTTTTCCTCAATCGTCACACTCTTTGTGCACATGTGGTCCTTTGAGCCRATTTTGATGGGCACACAGTTGCACCTCATGTCGATCTCTGTCAGGTTAACCAGACCGTGAAAGGAGGTTGAGTTTAATTTTGGAATATGGTTGATGGTGAGAGTCAGGTTGGTAGTCTCTCTGGGGATGGCACTGGGGATTTCCGTGAGGCTTCTCTCGGTGCAGTCCACTTTCACCTGGGTTCCATTGCTGACCTCGCTGACGTCACATGGCAGAGTTTTTGGGTAAGAGATGCCAGTTGTTGATTTATTGAAATGAAACCAAAGTCCCAGTAGTGTCACACAAATCTGCACAAAAATAGAAACATCTATGAAAGTGGTACGGAGAAATAATCGCATGAAAAAACAAATTGCACAAAAGCGTTAGAAATATTTTGAGTCAGAGGGTGAGGAATTACTCGAACAAGTAACTACATTTTCAACTTACATTACAGAATATCTGACCAAACCACCTCAGTTTAGCTACATGTAAATCAAAAGTAAAATAATAAATACGGTATACTTACTAATTGAAGAGACATTGTGACTTTAACAAGAGGTCCTGCTTGTGTTGTAAAGCTGGTCTGAATAGCAAAGAGCTCTAATGTGACAATCAGTTCTGAGGTGATAGTGTGAAAGTAGCAGATGGCTGTGTTGATCCATTGTGTGTATAATTAGTCAGCATCACTTCCTATTTGTTTCAGACCACTGACACTGAGCAAACATTTAAGGATCTCACTCCAGTTGTAAAGCATAGCGGCACAATTGAAGACCTTGTGACTGTACTTTTGGCTATAACATACGTGAAAAGATGGTTTCATTTCTGCTGAAGAAGTAGAGGAAAGTGAAACAATTGGACAAAGTTTACAAATTTACACAGTAAATCGGGCATTTTTTTCTGTCATTTGTGGCTATCGTGGCTGCATGGCTGAATAACATCCACCCCCACCTGTTCACATAACAAGCATGTCTTGTCTGACATTAAAAATGGATTAAGTTTTTTTAAATAGGGTTAGGGTTTTACAACAAATTATTTATGAATATAAATTACCTTCTTCAAATTATATAATCTGTAGCATTTAGAACACACATAACCTGATACATGAAGAAAAAATGATTGTCTTATCATGATCCAGCTAATGAGTTAACAAAAAATAAATATCTCACCAAAAGTCCAATAATTTGACTTTAAAATAAGAAGATAACAGAAAAATACAAGTAACTCTGTTACTCTTTCCACATCAAAATTAATGATTACAGAATGATTCTAACTCACTTTTCTTGTAATGAAWGTTGTTCAACTGTACTAAACACAATGAAAAACGGAGTAAACTGTGTTACATTTAATGTAAAAAGTGACCTTTGGGGCTGGATAAAACATTAATGAAGGTCAGATTTGGCTCACGAGCCTCCAGTTTGTAACTTGTGCATTAGTTTATCAATTTAATCAGAACTAAATGCTGTTTTATTAAACAGAATTTGTTCAAAGAGCTATCTATATCAGGCAAAATAATACTGGCTCGTAACTTTTTAACAGAACACCACTTCAAATGATCTGAACTGTCCGCTAACCCTAGGTTATGTGCTAAGGTGTTATGTTGTGGCCTCCTTGTGTAACTGATTTGACATGAGGTAATGAGTGGGGCCGAAATTGGATTGCTATTGTGCAAAGTTTTTATAGCAGTTCATGCAAACATTGTTTTATAGTCCTTTACACTGCCATAAACTTTGCATTAGACATGTGCAAAGTTAACAAGTATAGTATAATTTCCTTGCTAGAAGTGTTTGTGGTGGCACGATTTACCAAGAATGCAGAAACACGTTGGAATAAATGCACAGAAAGTCTGCGTGTATGGTCGTCAAATGATTTAATTTGAGCAACAACAGAGCAGAAGTCAATCAGAGAAGTCTGTCAAGTTGTGGCTGCTCGTCAGCGCAGAGCAGCTGATAATATAACATCCTGTGACATGCTTACAACCAATCACAGTTCGCCAACTGTGAACCATCTAACCAATGACAGAGCTGTCAACCCGGAAACACCTTATCAAAATAAAATGGGTCGTGCATTGCTGGAGTCTTGAGGTCTGGGCTGATTGAGTAAAACAGCCGAAACTAGTTATCATGAGATATGATTACTGGACAGTGTCAAGGTAGAACAAATATACATAATTAATCCATAACATGTTCATAGCTGCACATGAAGTGCTACAGCTAGCTTCTGCTTCTTGTGCTTGTAATTAGCTATCATCTTCTAAACAAATATAAAATCACTGATGTTGCTTTACAATGGCAGAAATCCACATTGGTCTTGGTATTGCTAATACCAGACTATAGCTTATCAATTTGGACAGAATTAAAGTCTGTTTCTGCAAACTGAGGTCATTCACAGAGCTAACTAAAACAGGTAAGATACTGATTCTACACGAGTTTCCGCAGAACCCTACTTCATAAGAACTTAGTCATGTCTCATTTTTTTCAAATCCTGAAGTTGTTGCAAACTAACATTTTCATTTGTCTGACCTGTTGATATTAACAAGTGAATAAATGTAAATAATGTACTACATATTGCTTGTATTGGCATACAGTATAAATGATAAATGGCCTGAAATTATACAGCACTTTATCAAGTCCCTAACGCCTTCCTGCCATCCACACACACATACACACATTCACACACTGATGGTTGTGTTACATTGTAGCCACAGCTGCAGCACAGAGGTGAGGCTGCCATGCACCGGTGCCACCGGGCCCTCGGACCAAGGTGGGTGAAGTGTCTTACCTGCCTATCTTGGTCGTAAAAATGCAACACGGAAGCCAATAAAAACACAACTAAGTGAAGAATTTTCAAAAGTTTTATTTTATTGATGTTGACAAAAATAACAAGAAAGTACTTAATATTCATGTGTAAATAATTAATTAAAACAAGTGATTCAACAAATGAAAAAGCTGTATGACGTACAATATTTTTTAAAACATCTTGTCTTGTGCAATGATTTGTCTAGAACTTTGTAGTGTATGCATTTCTCCATTATATATCTATTTTTTACAGTTTATAAACAAGRTACACATAGAATAGTAATTATTTACATCTCTTCAGATATCAATGAATAATTAAAATAATCCTTATTATATAATATTAAATAATATACTTGAGAGGGAGGTCATATGCTTTTTAATAGCGGGCTTTATATAATCTCTTTAAAACTTTTAATTCATATAATTTCATAGATTCTTTAGATAATAAAATATTGTATAGACAAGGCAAGAATTTTTTTCACAGCAATTCACATTTGGTTTTTAAAACCCATGTCTCTCATGTATGGCTTAAAAAAATCAACAATCAGAAATAAACAACAGTTTTTTGTTGAGCAGTGTTTTCAGTGAGTTGGTTAGTGTGTTTGTAATAACAGAAATGGTGGCAGAGTGATGTATCAATGCGTTCACACTTTGGTCTCCGGGGGAGCCACCTGCAGCCACTTCAGCAGCTTTCAGCAGACACACGTAGTTCATGACGACCTCATCCACCTTCACCACCACCTCGCGGCGTTCACGCTCGATGACCAGGCCCTCCACCAGCGACATGCAGGCTTGCGCTAAGCAACACAGTGTGTGGAAACTGTGTGTCAGGGTGAGCAGCAGCTCCTCCGGGCTGCTGTACTCGGTGGCCATCTGACTGCAGGCGGCGCTCAGTGCTTTGGCCTGCAGTGAAAGCAGCTGGGACAGCATCTCCATGTCAGCCTCACTGACCTCAGGTACATCGCTTTTGGGCTTCTGTTTCACACTGCAACGCAACACACTGATCATATCTAAGGCATCTTTCCGTGCAAGTGCAAACCCTGTGTGAAGGCTATATGTTTTGCCCTTCATTGAATTTATATAAGCTAGCCTGTCTTTGAGATCCATGGCATTCACAGATGAGGGCACGTTGCTTTCCTCAGCTTTGCTGCCTTCTTTCAAGGCCGCATTTTTCTTGCAGCTGAAAGAAACGGAGCTCTCAGAGAACAGAACGTGTGAATACATGTCTCTGTCTTCATCACTACCTTGAGCGTTTGACGCTTTCCTGAGGAAGCAGTGACTAAATGGCCCACGGCACCTCCACGCTCCTGCATCCGACCTCGGAGCTGTTGACTCCAGCAGCAACACCGAGACTCCTGCTGGCTGTCCTCTTCCCGTCGAATCGGAGGCGACCGATCCCTGGGACAAGCTCTTGGGTAAGGTTTTGGCAGAGAACACGCTCAGCTCTTTTGGGGGATCTTGAGACTGCAGATTCTGACCACCAATCTTCCCTGTAAGTGTGGCTTTGGTCTTTCCTATCAGTGCTTCTAAGCTCTTGGAAGCAGGCATTAAGGTGCTCCAGCTCCTTCTGAGCATGTGAACCCTGTGCGACTTCCTGAGGCTGCTTGTTGTCGGGCCACATGACGATAGGTCGAGCTCAGGGCTGGCCAGTGTTACCTCGCTGGGCTCTGTGCTACTTCGTAAAGATAAAGGTGATATGATTGTGGTGGTGGTACTGGTCTCATTACAGAGAGTGAAAGATGACTCTTTCCCAGTCTTCTTCAGCTGTGTGCAAGCTACACTAGGGGTAGTAGGAAAACAGAGAGAACTGTTAAGTATCAAACGATTCTCTTCAAAAATCTAATTTACAAAGATAACCCAACAAACATGCAACTTGTACTTAGCTAATGCTAATGCAAGATACATTAGAAAGTCTCATGTCACACATTGATTCTTTCACACAGTGCAAAACAAAGAGAACAAAAGCAAGGGTTTCAGACTAATGTTTAGTAAATCATCAGTTGGCTCCAGACTCTGCTTGAAAAGAAATCGTACACCAAGCTGAACAGAAAACTTGAGAGGCCTGCTTTTAGGAAACAGACCAATATACCTGTTTAATCAGCCTTATAGTGGGCCAAAGGTTTAACTTTTACCACCATGGTGTCAGCCACTGTATAGACAGGCTGTTTGCTTTTGTTTTCAAGACATTTTAGTTTAAAATACGGAAGCTTGGATATTCCTTGCAGATACAGATATAAAGTGAGATTGACTTTCTATTTCCAACTTTGGGATTATTCTTATCCATGGTCTTCCAAAATGTAAGAGTACCATTTTGTTTCATGGGCTGARCTTAAAATGTGCTCTCAAGCACCTTTAAACCTCACATGTGTTATTTTTAGCATAAAAACATGTCATGGTCAGTATCACTTCATTGCCAGTTTGGTTGCACTTTYACAGGGTGGGTACTTTCTTGCTTAGACTTTTTTGTGAGAGTTTTTTATTTTATTTTATTTTCTGGTGGATTTTAAACTGTTTTTGTTAATCACACTGAGCTAAAAATATCAAATATTTCCCCCAGTTTTATATTAAACAAAATGAGTAGCTCTGATTGTCAATCTTAAGA